GATCAGACTCTGAAATTAAATCCTGGAAGAACTGACAAGAAATGAACTGAAGCTGGGTGTGGCGTTGTACATCTGCAATACCAGCTACTTGGGAGGCTGAGGCAAGAGTATCACAAGTTTGAGACCAGTCTTGGCAACTTACTGACACTCTGTCACAAAATAAAAAGGGCTGGGGATGTAGCTCAGTGGTAAAGCACCACGGTTCAATCCCTAATACCACAAAAAAAGAAACAAGCTAAGAAGTTATTGAGCCTGGTTTGAGCATTTTACGTTGTACTAGGAAACCCCAAATAATTTTGTACCCAATAAATATAAAGCACTATAATTTATCAATATATAATAAAAATTTTTAAAAAGAAAATTACAGATCCTTACAAATGATGACTTAATTTTACCAAGGTAACAGCACAGTGGGCAGCAGGAGGCACTGATGGCTTTAGGGCTCTGGCAGGTGTGCTCCAAGAGCAGTGCCTTCAGAATCCCAGCGGCTTAACATCAACATGTTGTTCTGCCCTGCAAACCCAGAGAATCTGATGGAAACACCAGGCCAGAACATTCTTCAGTGTTAAGACGGGGGCTCTAACTAATGCTACCTTGAAACTGCATTCAAAACAATTCTACAGCACAATACTCAAGAAATCAAAAGGTATCTCTTATCTAAAAAGATGAGTTTATAAGTTAAAAGGTCTCTGAGCAGTAACACCTAACTTCAGTCTAGATAATGCAAGCTTCACTCTTGGACAGTGACATTTCAGAATACAGTGGCAATTATTAGTTTCACATTACGACCACAAACCCTAAGCACTCGCGAGCTACAGTAAGCGCTGTAACTCCGCACTGCTCGGCTGTGCCTCGGCCCTCTCCCCTTCTCTCCTCCTCCACATCTGTGCTTCCTTCCCTCTCTTCCGCACTCTTGGTGCCTGGCCTCCCCATGTGAACCCAGCCTGGCGCCTCGCCTAGGCGTCAGACAGAGCTTCTCTAGGACCGTCTCTTTGCAACGCAGAGCAAAGGTTTGACAAACAAAATCCACTTCTTCCCTTTTATCTCCTTTTAATTTTACTGTAATCTCTTTTTTCCTTCAACTTTTTGTTTGGGAGTAGCTCAAAAGTTCACAAAAGTCTAACGATGAAAATCAGCTTGACGGAAACCTGTTTTTTACCCAGAATCACCTACTGTGAATACTTCACATTTTTGCCTGAACCACACACCACGGGCTCACGGCCACACGTCCGTTCTGCCTCAGCTACTTCCACGTCTGATGTGCCTCCACGGCTCCTGCTGCCCCACAGGGAATTCCCCTCCAAGGCCACGCAGACCTGCAGCCCGCTCTCCACCAGCCTCCGTATGGGATTTTTCCGGAGAAATTCCCTCTCCCGTGCGCTCCTGGACCTTCTGGCCCCCACGGTGGGCGCTGCAGATGCTCGCCTCCTCCTCAGCAATGGCCAGCCTCCCACGCTGTCTGGGTTGCCCCACACTTTCCAGCTCTGCCGAGTGCCCCAGCTATGGCCCTGCCACGACCCCCAAGCCCTCCCGACCTCCAGAGCAGGTTCCTAACTGCCTCATGGGATCAGCCTACCTAGGCCACGGCCTCCCACCTTCCTCTTCCTGTATCACCATGTGCCAGGTGGAACCAGCTTTGGAGCGCCCCACGAGGCTTGCTTCCTTCCAGTCACTCACGCTGTTATCATTGTCACAAAAGCAAACTGCACAGGTGCTGAAGCCTCCCAACTCGATGCTGTGGACACAGCTCTCTGCTGGGATGTACATCGCCTCGCCAACGTCTCCACCAAGCAGAGTCCCTCCTGGGGTGAAGGTCAGGGCATGCCAGTGTCCTGCCTGGTGGCCTGCCGGCCCACCCAGTGAACTGCAGCGCCCGCCCAGCCAGCCTGGTTCCCCAGAGCCCCTGCTGTCCCCCAAGACACCCAAATGTGCCAGCCAGCTGGTGTGTGCCAACATACGGCCCTCTGCAAGCACAGGAGGGCTCCCTGACCTGCTGCTTCCTATCATGCTATCTCCTCATCCTTCCATCCTTCTCCTTCTTGTAGGTCAAGGCACCTGAAATTCTTTCCACTAGAAACTCATTTTAAAAGAGAGGCTAAAATATCTCACATGCACTGTGGGAAGTTCAAGCATTGCTACGGCTCCAGGCAGCACGAGAAGGGTCTAAGCAGAATCCACTGGCATGGGCTGAGCAGAGCCCACACCTGGGCGGGCAGAGAAGAGCCCACGTGGAGCCCACACCTGCACAGGCTGCAGAGGTGATGTGACAGCCGCACTGTGAAAACATGCAGTACTCACTGGGCAACACTACGGACTCCACTTCTCCACCACCACGGGCACTCTAATACTAAAGCTGTGTAACGTCACAGAGAACATAAAAGACAGACACTCGGAAGGCTCCTTGACTTTGTGGTCTCCTGCTGCCCCCAGGGGACTTCCAGTCCAGAAAGACTGATTCCAGGGTTGAGGCTGGGGCTCAGCAGTAGAGCGCTTGCCTCACACACATGAGACCCTGGGTTCGATCCTTAGCATCACATAAAAATAAATAAGTAAAATAAAGGTATTAAAAAAAAAGACTGATTCCAGAAATGGCTAATGACAGCAGACTTACTTGCAGTGAAATAAAAAAACACTGGATGACACAGTCACTCAGAAGCACGTCTGCCTCACGAAGACAGCCAGTGATTGGCACATGGTCACTCAGAAGTGTATCTGCCTCACAGGGACAGCCAGTGATTAACACACGGTCACTCAGAAGTGCATCTGCCTCAGGGGGACGACAGTGATAGACGCACGGTCACAGAACTGTGTCTGCCTCATGGGGACAGAGAGTGGCTGGGGAGGTGCAGGCCAGGACCAGCAGGCAGTGCTGCCATCTGCAGGGTGTAGCCCGAGCAGCAGGATCCTGCCGTTTCGTGAGACTGGGAGACTGCTATCAGAGCTGCACCGTCACATGGACGGTCACTGCCTTTGAAGTGGCTCCCCCTTTCTCCACTGAAAAGTCTTAACTGGGCCTCTCCAGAAATCTTCGCCCAGCTGATTTTAGGACTGTCAGCAAAAGAGCCCAATGTAGACAACCTTCCTATTTTCGTGTCGCCCTGTTTACTTGGCCACTGGCCGAGATGACACCAGCACTCCAGGTGATGGACACCCGTTACTAGTTGTCACAAACATATTCAGTATAGTTCTTTGAAGAAGTGTGCAAAGAGGGCCTCTGGCCTTGAGCTGGGCTTCACAGAGGTGTCTACATTTTTAAGATAAGTTACAAGTGGGCTCCCTGGTAACAGCTGGCAGGGGAGGGAAGAAGAGGGGAAGCAGCTCTCCCCTTCTCAGGTGTTGTCCTTGAAGGGTTAACTTGCCCAGAACAGTGAAAGAAAAAGCTGTGAACTTCTGCAGACTGTGAACTTCTGAGCCCCTCCCCTTACACACTGGGTATAAAACTCTGAAACTCCCTCAACTCGGGGTTCAGAGGATTGATTGATTACAGCAAAAGCTGTGCCCTCTGAGCCTGCTGCAGCCAAATAAAACTGTTTCTGATACCTTCGGTGCCTGGCCTCGTCTGTCCCTACAACACCTTGACTACGGGTTTCCTCTGATCATATCCATATGGTGAAAGCAAAATGATTTAAGGAGTCATCGTGCTCAATCTGGGGAAACCCCGCCACAGAAACAGTAGGGAGGGCTAAGGAGCGGCCTTCACCACACACTGTCCACAGCTGTCTGCTTCTGTGGGAAGCCTGCCCCTCCTAAGTTCTGAACCTTGAGGCATGTCCCCTGCAGCTCAGGCAGTGCTGGGCCCACGTCCCTCGGGTGTCTCCCAAGGCCATCCCACAGCTGCCAGCATTCCAGGATCCCTTCCCAGCCCACAGGCCACCCACACAGACGCCCACCACTGCTCACTGTTCCCAATCTCGCTCGCCCTGAAGCTGCCACCAGCCTTGTCCCCATGTCCCCTTACCCCTCACTGGAGCTGCTGCTGCCGCCCCGGCTAGCCTTCATGCGGCCATGAACCTGCACTTTCTGCCCTCCCTCCTGATGCCCAGGCTGCCTGTGAGACTCGCCAGTGGGACGTGAGCAGAGAGAGGCATTCCTGGACGGGAGCTGGCTCTCCACACGGCACCTCCTCCACCGGCCCCCATGAGCCTGGACCCAGCGCTGCCCAGGAAGCCACACCACGCCAAGGACGGTCAACACCTGAGCTCTCCAGCAGCCTCACCGTGTGCCTGACCCAGCTGCCGACCCCCCCCCCCCATCTTCTGCCTGTAGCAGCTGTTCCTGCTCCTGCTCTGACAGCCTTCGACCCCGCCCTGCTGGCCCCTGCGTACCCTCTTTATCCTTATTCCAGGGGAGACCTGGACACTCTGCCTGTCTCACATGCCTGCTATTTTGAGAAACGGGGGATGGTAAATCAGAAAGACCAACAGTCCTTAGGCCACAGCCCTTAAACCAGAGGATCATGAGCTTCCCCTTGGCAAACACAGAAACATGCCCCCTCGAGGAAGGGTCAGGTGGCAAAGGCTGCTCAGGGGCATTCCTGCCATGGCCAGTCCAGCCTGGGAGATAGGGCCAGGACCACAGCAAGGTTCCCAGGGCCCCTCACACAGGAGCCCAGTGCAGCTGCCACCAGGGAAGAGAGTTGAGCATTTCATGCCTGAGCCAGCTGCTTAGGAGGCACAGAGATGTGCTGACAAGCACAGCCAGGAAGCCGCCAGCGGAGGACACTGGGTTACCAACTGCAGAGACTGAAAGCCAGAGCCACGTCTGGGCCACAGGTGTGAAAACCACAGCAACAGACCACGTGTATGTAAGAAGGTCGAGTCTCCTTTTTGCTCCTATTACAACGTGATACATAAACTTAAAAAAAAATGCATGATTGATATTTCAAACTTATTTTAAAATAATTTTTATAACCATATAGGATTTTCTTTTAGGTACATGGTAACAGAAAACATTAACTAATCATGTCTTACTGCAACTCTCACAGACTAAACAACACTCACCTTCTGCGTGCCGTTTGCTCTGATGGGAGGTACAGTCCGCATGCCCTGCCTGTGGGCTGCTCCTCGTGATCTGGTCACTAGAAAACAAAACACGTGTGGAACACGGGGTTACTGTGGACCCTGGTTTGATCTAAAGGAAGGGAAGGAAGGAGCATGGTGAAGTCCCATTCCCCGCGCTATGTCAGGGCCCAGGGTGCTCCATCCAACCCACACCTCAGCAGGCGCCAAGGCTGGGATCACCCTCAGCCTCTAGCAGGAGATGGGGCGCGGAAGCAGACTCAGGAGCCCCTGCTGCAGAGGCGAGGCTGCACGTCCCCTCCTCCCACCCACCTGGCCACCTCTCCTGAGAGGTCTAATAAAATCACTCCCCATGCAAAGCTTCCTTAACTCTTTACAGAAATGATTCTTTTAATAAAACCCAAGCTGCTGAATTCTATGAAACCCAGGCGTCGAGCAGAGCCGCGTCCTGTCACAGTGGTAAGGAGCCGACTCTTCCGGAACTAGTCTGACAGCAAGAACAGCCCAGCTCTGAGCTGTGTTAGAGATGAGATAACAAGGCTCGCAGACTTCAGAATTAAAGCTTCGACTTAATAACCCAGGGAGCTGGGGCTGGGGCTCAGTGGCAGAGCACTCGCCCAACACGTGTGAGGCTCTGGGTTCGATCCTCAGCACCACAAAAATAAATAAATAAATAAAGGTACCCATCTATAACTAAAAACACCCCCCAAACAAAAATAACCCAGGCAAGACCCACAGAAGAAACTCACAAGGAACAGGGATGGAAGCCCTGGTACTATTCCATACTTTTCAAATTTCCTAAAAGTAAACAGTTCTTATTTCTGGAGTCGGTAACTACCTACCAAAGCCCGGGGTCCTCAGTGTGCAAGAAGAGCCAAGCCACGTTCTCTGTGCTCAGCTGCTGTTATGCTTAACTGACCCCCAACAAATGGCCTCACACCACGGACAGAAGAGGGTGGAGGGAGCCCCCGGGTCTGTTACCTGCAAGTCCCTGCTTCAGCAGCAGCACCGCTGGCCACGGCTGGGCCACCCCCGTCGGCAGCTGCCGCGTCCAGGCTGGCAGACCCGTTGCTGACGTGGTCGCTGCTTTCATACCCAGACTCGGTCCTCTGCACCTGCCAGCCGTCACCAGGAACCCCGCGCTCCACAGGGCCTGCCCTGCTCTCTGCTCCCTTCCCGCCAGAGTCCAGGGAGCTTCTGCTTCCCGTCTCCAGCTTCCCTTCGTCCTCGAAGATGGTCACCAGCCCTTTCTGCTCTGTGCTCTGCTTGGACCAACTGCCACAGGTCTGCTCCTGGCCCCCCTGGGGTCCATGGCTGATGTCCGCCTTGCGCCGTGGGCTGTGCTGCCTCTTCCCACTGTCACTGAAAACGCTGTCCACATTCAGGGCCTCCCTCAGGGGCCTCCACCCTCGGCCCCGGCTCCGGCCACCATGTCTGTCCCGAGAGCTCTGGCTGCTGTCTGGGCCACACCCAGCACCGCTGACCTTGCTGGCTGTTCTCTCTCCTGGAACAGGCGCCTGGGACTTGCTGGGACTCGCTGTCTGCCCAGCAGCTCGACTCTGAGAGGCCGCTCGCTCCTGTCTACAGGGCTCCTTCCCTTGACTGTGGCAGAGCTGAGCGCTGCCCTGTCGCCTGAAGTCACTGGAGGCAGGTGGTGACCCAGGCTTGACATGTGAGAGCTCCTCGTCAGACATACCTTAAAAAGTGACCACAGTCAAAGACATGAATGGCCCTCCCCACACGGCAATGCTGCAGTCACAAGCTGAGGACCCTTCAAAAAGAAATGCTAGGTGGTCACCAGGAGGATGGCAGTCAGTCACAATCTGCCGTGAGATTCAAGGACTTCATCAGTGCTCATTCATGCTTACTGAGAAGCACTTATAAAAGAGATGGACTTTTAAAATGGCCCACAAGGGCTGGGGTTGGGGCTCAGAGGTAGAGCGCTCACCTAGCACGTGTGAGGCCCTGGGTTCGATCCTCAGCACCACATAAAAATAAATAAATAAAGCGAAGGTATTGTGTCCTTCTACAACTAAAAACTAAACTAAAAAAAAAAGCCCACAAGGCGGATCACAAAGAAGTTTTTTTAAAAAAATATCTCACAATCAACAAAAGTCCTAATACTTTCCATCTCACACACTGCCAGCCCCAGACATCTGGCAAGCTGCTGCTGCTGTTGTGAGCGGAGACGGAGCTCAGGCCAGTGTGCAGGCCGTGGGGTCCAGGGGCAGTGCAGCTGTGGCCGCCCACCAGGCCGGGCAGAGCTGCCACGGCGACTCCCCAGGTGCCACACTCAGTGAGCAGCACACAAGGCGGCAGGAGAGCACCTGTGTGCGTCTGTCAGCACCAGCTCAAGGACGCCACGTGCAGAAGGAGGAGCACAAAGCCAGAGAGCAGCCCGTGAGAGGTGAAGGCCGTGAACACAGGGAGGGTCAGAGCTGCCCTGTGTAACCCTCGCAGTCTCACGTGCCACCTGAGGGAGCACATTCACCACGAAAGGCTAAAACATCGAGACCGGAACACTCAGTCCCAGCTTAGGCTTGAGTGGGCCTTCTGGGTACAGGTGTACTGAAGAACTCGTGCTGAGAAACACAGCGACACACAGACGTGCACACGGGCACAGGTCGACTGCCGTCCCGAGGCTGCAGAATTCCATTTCAGAACGAGACTTCGGGCAGTGCCTTCAAGGGAAGCGCACACTCTGGACTCACCTCGGTGCCGGGCCGTGTCCTTCCTCTGTGCCTGCTCGAGAGCTTTCCACTGGGCAGAAAGCAAGCTCCTCTGCTGGACGGCTCTCAGAGCACATTCTCTGGAGAGGTCTTTTACCTTTTCCCTTTGATCACCATGGCTTAGCTTAACTGCAAAAGAAACATTCCTACAGTGACACATCATTTTCAAACTGTTCAACAAAAGTAAACATTCAGCTAAAATCGCTGATCCTATATTTACAACCACCACCTCAAGTACACAATGAACTCATTTTCGGCCTAACTACACACTTGCTGACTTCTCCTGACCTCTGGAGACAGTTTCTTTCAACACTTCTTAGAGAGACCCTGGAGTGCGTGAAAACAAAAAAAGAAACGTGCCATCAAAATAATAAGGACACAGGTGACCGCCTGGCCCCCGCTTGTGGGCACGGCTCTGCAGGTCTTGCTCTCTGAATTTTTTGAAATGGGCAGAGTCACTATCCCCATTTCAGTTAAGGAAATGGAGCCCTGAGAAATCAGAAGCGAGTCCACCTTCATACAGCTCGAGAACAGAGCGTGGACCAAGCTTGGCTGCTTCAGCACAAGCGGCTAACGGAGGTGCCCTAGGAGAACCAAAAGACACGAAGACCACACCATCCTGACCACGGAGAAAGGGTTGGGGGGGACCCAGGCTGTGCTGTGGGTAAGGGCTCCCAGGGCCACCCACGGAGGACTCCAGGTGCCCCTTCCTAGCTGAAGGGCCACAGGCACTGGCAGACATGATTTCATCAGCATGTTTAGAAGCTGCTGCTAAGTCCCCCTGAAAGTCCACATGACTTGGTTTTCCTATTTCTAAATCCCAACTACACATAGTACAGCAGCAGCAGCAGCAGCAGCAGCAGCAGCAGCAGCAGCTTGCCAGACATTTTACTTGGGACGAAAATTGCAAGACGTGCCTTGTGGGAATCAAAATCATGGATGACGACAAGCGGGAGTGAACACAGGCAGAGTGATGCGCACCTCGTCCCTCGGCTGCACTCGCCAACAGCACCTGAGGGCCTGGGATACCACTGTCTGGGCCTGGGCCTGAGGAGGGCCCAGTCACAGCTGTCCAGCAACTTGCCAGTCTTAGCTGGCCCAGCCTGGAGTCTACCCACCAGTCTCTCCCGGGCCAGGAAGGCCAGCTGAGCACCATGCACCATGTCTCAGGAACTCGGTGAGAAGGATGGGGGAAAGCAGAGGCAGAGGGGCCACCACATACGTACCTGCTCCTCTCCCTCCGCTTGCTTGAACGGGGCTCCGATTAAATGACGACACCTCACTCTGAGGGTTCTGACCTCCTCTCAGTTCTCCGTGACCGTGATCGGTACACTCATTTTCTTTGCAACTAGCTGACTTACGAATTGTAGACTTTTCACATCCTTAAAAAGAGAAACAAAAATGTATCATTTTCTTCCTTTGCATTAGGAGAAAAGATGCTGGCATCACTTTTTTGGGGGGGTGGGTACCAGGGACTGAACTCAGAGGCGCTCCACCACTGAGCCACATCCCCAGCCCTATTTTGTATTTTATTTAGGTAGCTTACTACCTCACTTTTGATCAGGCTGGCTTTAAACTCATGATCCTCCTGCCTCAGTCTCCTGAGCCACTGGGATACAGGCATGCGCCCCCGTGCCCAGCTGCCTGCTCACTCCTGCAGACACTGTTAGCACTGAGGGCAGAACTACTTCACACTTCTCTGCTCCACACTCTGAAGGGCCCTAGGCCCAGTCTACCAAATCAACAGAAAGCTCAATATTCACCACTAGGAGGCGCTACCAGCGAGGCAGCCTAGGCACCTGTGACCAGGAGAGCAGGTGATCCTCCAGGTGCCACTGATGATGGTGGGTGACCCTACAGTAGCCCTGGGGCCACTAAAGGGAGTATGGGTGACCCTACAAGTGCCTAGGGCGATTGACAGGAGATGGTGGGTGACCTACAGTTGCTCAGGGGTCACTGACAGGGGATGGTGGGTGACCCTACAGGTGACCTGGGGCCACTTATGGATGGTGGGTGACCCCTAGGTGCTCCAGAGCCACCAGAGAGTAGTAACCCCTAAATGTGCTATGGGACCAATGACACACAAAGGCTCCTTCTAAAGGCTAACAAAGGGCTGCGTGTGGCCAGTGGCAGAGCCCTGCCTGGCACATAAGGCCCTGGGTTCCGGCCCTAGCACTGTAAATAAGAATAGTAAAAATGAACAGAGCACGCTAGAAGGCCCTGAACCCCATCACTGAAACTCAGTTTTCAAGTTATTCCCCCCCACCCTGCCTCTCCCCCCCCCCCCCCCACACAGGCACTGGGGACTGAAGCCAGGGATGCTGTACCATTGAGCCTCATCCACAGCCTCCACCTGCCGTTTTTAATTTTATATTGACTACAGAACCTTGCTAAGTTGCTGAGGCTGGCTTGAACCCACGATCCTCCTGCCTCGGCCTTCTGAGTAGCTGGGGTCATAAAAGTGGTCACTATACCCGGGCTCAATGTTCACTTATATCCAGTGTAAATGTTCCTAGTTGATTCTGATAATAGAAAAACACCAAAAAGTTTTTTAAAAGAATTACCCATATTTTCTGCAACAGATTTGCAATGTGACCAGGTGACCACCTGCCTGAGAGCATCTTCAGTGGAAACTGCCGTGCCTTCTGGGTTGGCGTAAAACAAGAGCAGCGGCTGGAAGTGACCCCGGGTGCATTTGGAGACCACGTCTTTCCACCTAGCTCCAACCTTGGCAGAGCGCAAGGGACAGAAACAAAAGGAAAGCCCGTGGTAAGTGAGTGCACAGAGCAGGAGTGGACAAGCATCTCAAGAGCACTGCAGGCGTTCCGAGCCAGCAGCCCCTTGGCATACCAACCAGCATCCTGCAAGGACGACACACAGAGGGTGTCACGCCTGTTCCTCTGGAATTTGACGGGGTGACTCGATAGGCTTTCTATCTGAAGAGGTGTTATTAAAGTTTAAAAAGATTTCCACATAAGTGGCTGATCTTTTTTTTTTTTTTTTTTAATCATTGCTGCTGTATCTCTTTTATTTCCTGGATGGGAAATAAAATACATCCTCAAATATATGGAATAAATAACATTTTCAGGGTTGACTGGCATCCTCGCATATTTGACACTGTAAGTCAGGCTGACTGACGTGACAAGGATTCAAGGCCACTCGGTGGAGAAACAGAAGCAGGTCTGCTCCACAAACGGGGCTGGAAGCTGGACAGCCAGCCAGGGGAGAAGAGCTCTGGCCCACGGCCCCAAGGAAAAACCAACTCCAACTACAAAGCGTCCAGAAAAAAATACCGAGAAAATCTTCACAACATGTGGACAGCAAAGATTAGAACCAAATGAACGGTAGAAGAAAATTTTAACAAAATGGACTTTGTTAAAATTAATTAATAACTTCTGCTCTTGCAAAGACACACTGCTAAGCTTTAAAATAAGCAATAAAAATCTAATAAAGAACTGGTGTAGAGAATAAAGAATTTCTCCAGCTTATTAGTAAGAAGACAATCCAACTGGAAACGATTTTTACCAACAGCCTTAACACTTTTCTAATACCTGACAGTGTAGATCTTGATCAACAGCCTTGGTATCTTCCAATACCTGATTAGCACAGATCAGTGCCCCTACCCAGTGGCTATACAAGCCCCTAGACTAGTGCACTTAAGTGGTAATCTGCTGTCAGACGGCCCCCTCGGGCCCAGCCAGGCTTTTTCCTTCTGACTTTAAATAAATCCTTTCTTTCATTGTCTATAGATTTCATTCTTTGAATTCTAGGAGACAAGAATCCAAGAAGAATCTGGTGGTAGACTACTGGGGTCTGCTTCAATCCCAACAGGCACAGCCCAACACTGTCGTGGAGGAGAGTCCGGCTCTGCTCTTGGTGGCCGGCGGAGCTGGCGCCAGCAGGCATTTCCTGCTGGGACTGGCTGCCAGCACCAAAGAGCTTTCAGCCACAGAGGCCGCGGCTCAGGCAGACCCACTCGCCCGCAGAGGCAGAGAATCTGGTTTCATCTCAAACCCGGTCTCACTATCACTTCACGGGATGATTCCATCATTTCGCATAGTTATGTCACTTACTCCTAAAAAGAACTCTCAAAACAGTTCTCCCAGCTACTGAAAGCCTCACCTCTTTCACATTCGCATCATCAAAGAACACCCACTTGGAGCTCTTGGTGTGGAAGGCGAAGGCACAGTAGTGCCGGCTGGCGTAGCAGATCAGGCCCACCAGGTGCAGCTCACTGCTCCGGGCACTCTCGTCAGTGACCCTGTAGAACAGCTGTTGAGAAACCGGTTGGCACGTTCACCACTAAGTCCTAAGACTCCTGAGTCTGTGGAGACTGTGCTCCATCAAGTGCAGGTGGTTTGTGCAGACCGAGAGCTCCATCGCACTCCCGCAAACCACACACGTGAACAGATGTCAAAGTATTTCCTGAAGTACACCTGTCTAGAATCTTAACTGTGACATAAACCAGCTACAATACATTAAGAGAATAGCAGTGAAGCATATCAAGAGATCAGTGTTACAGGTGGATCTTACATCTTGTTTTTTTTTTTTTAAAAAGAGAGAGAGAGAGAGAGAGAGAGAGAGAGAGAATTTTTAATATTTATTTTTTAGTTTGTATGTGGTGCTGAGGATCAAACCCGGGCGGCACGCATGCCAGGCGAGCACGCTACCGCTTGAGCCAAATCCCCAGCCCTGAATCTTATATCTTAAAGCCTTTTCCAGGTAAACACTGACTATGGATGAAACCACACTGTCACTGTCATTCAGGGCAAAAGGCATGACGGAGTTTGGTCTGCAACTGAAAGCCATTCTGAGCTTTGTGAGAAAAACATCCTCTCACCTGAGCCAACGAGATCTGTCTGTGCCACACTACCCAGAAATATCAGTATTTTCTTTAAAAGAATCTAGGTTCTAAAAAGCAAAACTATGTGTATCACAACACACGAAGGTGTTTAGAGGAATTTAAAATAAAAGGGAAAAGAAGGAACACAGGTACACTACCCCAGGAAGATAGAGGTGTGTTGCTAGGTTCCGGACGACGTCCTCAGTCAGGTCTGAATGCTCTGAGTCCCAGACCAAACCGATCGTGACAATCTCTGGGCAGTTCATTAAAACACGGCGGATTTTTATTTTTTGGCCACAATTGCTCTAAAGAAAAACACAAAAGGCAAGTTTTGAAATTATGCAATTTATGTTATATAAAGACCATCTGAACTCATTTTTTTCCCTGAGAAATTGCTGATCTCTTCTAATAACTGATTAAAAAGGAAGTTTACTTCAAATCAAAATATTCTTTGGTGTTTTTGTAGATGTGTTAAAACAAGAATGTAGCCTAAAGAAAGCAGGTAAAAGCTAGTACCAATATTAGATGAGAAAAGAATATCATTTATCATGTCTATTCAAAGAAAGAAGAGAAACCTCTTTAAACTCAAGTGCTAAATCCCAGAACTTCCCAAAAAATTGAATGGCATGTGCTGCTTTAAATCTCTTGACCACAATACAAGTTTTTAAAAGAAACAGAGCTGGGACAATGGCTCCTGTGTGGAGCCAGCATGCGACTTGCACCCCTCAGCTGACCCTGCTGGGGCCCACACCCAGAGCCTGCTCACGGGGCACTTCCTGTAGTCGCCGGCTGTGTTGGCTGCTTGCAGCAGTTCCGCAAACATTTCAGGCCTGAAGCGTTCGTGCCTCTCCAGCATTCTCTCAACTTCATTGCTACAAAAAAAAGCAGCAGTCCCAATGTGGCCTGTGGACTGAAAACAGATCAGTACGTGACCCAGGAACATCACGCAGCTGGCCCAGGTGCAGCCGCTTCCCTACCTCACCAGGGCCGAGCCTGGACAATCAACCTCACGTGAATCTCCACGTGGTGGAAACTGCAGCAGGTGCGTGATGAAAAGCCAGGTCAGGTGGGCATGGACGTGAAGTTGGGCCCCCCACAGGGGCCAGACGCTGGGCCCAACAAGAGAGCAAGATCTCAGGACAGGCTCTGGGCCCCAGTCCCAGAGACAAGGACACCAACTGCACAGAACCCTCAGAAGAAGGCAGAGTCACCACCTGCCTGGCTTTGGCTGCCTTGGGGAGGCTGGTCACACTGACAGAGCCCACAGGCCCCCCATGTGACCTCCCCAGAGTCACTCCTCACATGGGGAGGTGAACACCAGAACAGCTCTCTAACATGCTCAGAGGGACGCGAAGGCAGCACTGTCCACCTGCTCTCCATCCCAGAGTCCTGTTCTGCACAGCCAACAGCTCACGGGGCTTGAGGGCGTCGGCGCCCTCCAGGAGCACGGCTGGATCTCGGCGCCCTCCAGGAGCAGGGGCCCACCACACACTCCTGAGGTCGCTGTGCAGCAGCAGACCAGCTTTCCATCCTGACTCAAGCTCTTGCCAGATCAACCCCAGCTGCCCACTTCTGCTGCTGTTGAGATCAAAATCAACAACTCACACACAGCCTGGCATGTGGCGAGCACACACAGTCCACGCCCACTACTCACTCCCAACTAGAGAGGCGCTCTAAACAAGCACAGGCGTAAGTGGGCTCCGAGTCTGAGAGCCAGTGGGACCACTGATGGGGTCTCCTTATCTAGTTGCTGCTTGGGGTTGTGCCGTTTGAGAAGCAGAGTAAGATTTTGCAGCCTTTAGTTCCTGGTCTCTCCCCACTCCAATGCCATTCTGTTTTGCGTGCACACTGACAGTGGACTGACCACCCACTGCGACCAACCAGACCTCAGAGCCTGATGCCCCACCAGAGCTCCCAGCCCTGCTCGTGGGTGCATGTGAGACACTCAACAGGGTGTCCTCTGAGAGACGCTGCAGAGCTGCGAGTTCAGGTGGGAGCAAAGGGCCTGTGCTCACTCTGCCCAGGTCTGGCCGGTGCCCTGACTCGCTACACCTGCCCCACAGAAGCTTCTGCTACCACGTTCTGAGTCTCTTCACTTTCCACCACACAGCACCTGGGCTCTCAGAAACCTGGGAAAGGGCAGATAGTTCCCAGGGTCATCGGCCACCTCTGTAACCAGTTTTTGATCCTTAGACAAGTCGAAGAGCAGCAGGCAGAGGCTGGTGACAAGGCTGAGGCCCCAAATGCCCTGGGTGAGGACGCTCTGGCACCCATTTTCCCTCCCTCAGGAAGGGGAATAAGACACTGTCTGCACTCCGCTGACCAGAGTTTGCCATTTTATCTCCCTTCACAGTCCCAAGACCTTGCTAGAAATATCAACAGAGTTTTTTGAGTAATATTTTGTGCATGTCACTGACACACACAGGCTGAGCACCCTAATCTGAAAATCCAGAATTTGAAATGCTCCAAACTCCAACGCTTCTTGAGCAGTGACATAGTGCCACCAACAGAAAACTCCAGGCCTGACCTCACACGACAGGGCACAGTTGCAGCTCAGGCACTGGAGAACACTTGTAGAACCACTCGGGCTGTGCAAGAGGTATATGGACATGAATGGGATCTGTTGTTTAGACTGGGTCCCTCTCCCAGATGCTCACGATGTACATCAGACAGTTCAAACTCTGAAATCCAAACATCTGGTCCCACGCAGTCTGGGTAGGGTAACCACCCGCAAGAGGCTGGAGGAAGCACTGAGGAGAGGTGCTCTAACCGCAGCTGCACAGCAGCCATCACTTGGACAGCAGTGCACACACCGTGACTTACAGAATCAATACCGGGCGCTAGCAGGCCCGGCTGCCAGGCTCTTACCAGAGGGCTGTGGTGGAGATGTACCGCACGAACTCCGTGAAAGGCAGAGGATCTGAAGAGGCTCCGCAGCTGCGGCACACGCACTAGGGGTGACACACAGGTTAGTCCATGCGTGACCAGGCGAGGGCCCCCGAAGGGCCGCTGCTGCCTCACCTGCTCATACAGGGTCATGGCGAACTTCTGGTGGGCTATGCAGGACCTGGAGGTGCACATGTCTGCGTCTCTGCTCGGCACCAGGTGGAAGTGGATCCGCTCCAGGATGTTCTCCTGATTCAGAAACAGACATTCGGGCCGCCCTTGCAGGAGCACTGCAGAACCTCACTCTTGCTGAACCGTCCAGTGTGACACGGGAGCTGGGACAGTCAGTTCGTGTTCCTCACAAATCAACTCCCCAACACCCGGGGGGAAAAGTAACAGGAGAAATCTCACAAGCAAAGACCTCAAAGTCCTTCCAGAGCCAACCTGCAGTGACCCTTGAGGGCTGACCTGGATTTAATATTAGAAAACGCTGCAGTCTCTGCTCCTGGTTTCCTCACCTGTAGAAACTCAGGAGCTTTTTAAAATCCTGCTTGGACCCACTGGCCAGCGGATACAGCCTGAAACACTGATGGTGGAGAGGGACACCCACTCACAGGAATCCTGAGAAACTGACCACGTGCATTCACTCTCTTCACTGTACCTGGGTGAGCCCACATCTCCCTCCTCTGCCCCAAGACATCTGAAACTGTTCAATTATTGAAGCCCTGATTTCTGGACACTATGAATTTTGATGAGCATGTATGAGTAAACTTCACTTAAAAGAAAGTAAAACTAAAGTTCAGTATTGTACAAAACATTTGTTTTAAGAAATGGGTCAAATATAAATAAAAAACACCAAGAGTGCCCATCCCTGAGCATGCCTCTGACACAGGCCGGCGGAGCAGGCAAGGCCAGGCTGGCTCCTGCCATGATGGAGACCTGACAGCATAGGCCAATTGTGCCCCAACCCCATATTCCACAGGAACTCGGGGCACCCACTGGAGTGCTTTGGGCAGACACTACTTGATAAGTAGGTCTTAATTTGATCTTTGACAAAATGATAGATAAAAAAAGTCCTATTTAAGGAAGGTGAAATACGGCTGTTAAGGAAACATGGGAAGGAGCCGTGGGGTCTGTCCCAGGAGAGTCCACAGAGTGTGTTGGACAGAAACTGGAACGAGGGAGAAGAAACGGCGACATCCCGAGCACAGGAACAGAGCTGTGACGCCCCAGAGCGTCCCCACCAGGGAGGCTCTGCAGAGCAACCAGGACGCGCCCCTGCTGTGAGGCCCGAGCTGCTTCCCCAGGGCGGCCACAGCCCTCTCCTCGCCAGGGGATGGCCAGGGGATCGCTGCCCGTGAGGACCGGTCACTGCTGCCACGCAGCCCAGGGAGGCCCGAGGCAGGACGCCTGCTTCAGGCACAGGGCTTACAAAGGTCTGTGTTCCAGTGGATAAAGTTTCCAGTACTTTTACGGCCTAACACTCGTAAAAATTAGAGTAGCACAAACAATCAGAACCAAATGCTTAACAGAAAACACAGGGGGACCTAAAGTCAGCCTTGAGATGGGCCTTCCGTGGACACACTGACAGCCCTGTCTCAGCTGCGCCTGCTGACGGTGAAGGCGACTCTGCACGGGAGGACCTCGCGGGAGGACCTCGCGGGAGGACCCTGCAGGAAGACCCCCCGCGCGGGACCCCGCAGCACTTACGAAGCACTCGGCGGCATCGTCCATGAGGCCCAGCTGGAAGCGCTGGGCATCGCGGAAGCTCTCTGCAAGCGCATGCCTGACGTTGTCGGAGGGCAGGGCTTTCTCCCGGCTGTGCTGAAACTGCGCGAACATCGTCTGCAGGAGGCAGCGAGGACAGCGGTGCATTGGTGCCAGTGACCACGAGCACCGAGCAATGTCACTACGACCTGGAGAAACTCAGGCGAAACACAGAACTGCCGCTTGCTCCAAGATCCACACACACATCAATTACTGGGGAAACGCAGCGTGGGCTGGCGGCTTCCACACCAAAGGTCCACTGGCAGCAGAGGAACCCTGCCCACGGCCCAGCAGAAAGCCGGCAGGAGCAGGCAGAGACGAGCCGCTCTGCGCCCACAGGCTCCGTGCACCCACGGTGGAACCGAACCCGCCAGCCAGGAAGAGCAGGAACCTACTTTCAAAAATGCAACAGTGCATTTTGTAAGAGTCAGAAAAGAGCTTAAATACTTAAGAAAAGCAACCCCAAGTTGTCAATTTCCAGTCTTAGAGAATACTTTTAACATAAACCCAAGAAGCAATAAAACATCATTCAAGAATGTGAAAGTGTAGGTATGACTTTAGATTTCTATTTTCTTTATTGAATTTAAGCAAAAAATAAACAAAAAAGACAAGCTTGTGAGTAAGCTGAGTTGCGGTGACCAACTCCTGGGGAAGGAGGTCGCAGAGCAGAGATCTGCAGAGGCAACCTCTGAATAAGAGCCCCTCTGGTGCCGAAGCTCAGGGGTCGGGTCCCTCCAGTTCTCCAAGGCCAATGCACAGTCAGGCCAGGCAAGTAATCAAAGAATCTGCTCTGGCCAGGGCTGTAGCTCAACGGTAGACTGCTTGCTTAAAATGCATGGGTCTGAGTTCAATCCCCAGCAGCATCACCAAAAAGAAAAAAAAAAAAAAAAAAATTTAACCTGTTCTCTACTGCTGAAAATTTTATTAATAGAATAAGAAACTTAAAAATAAAGACTCAAATACTATTAGGCAGCCAGGACTACAGTTACATAAGACACTCTAACAGCTATAATCATGAGTGCTGGACTCAGGCAAGCAGCACTCTGGGTTGAGGTGCTGGTCCCCCAGGCCTTCTGTGACATGCCCTCCTGCCTGCCAGTGTCCATGGGTCCCATCTGCACAGGAGCTGCCGTCCAGTCATGGCAGCAAACTGCAAATGAGCCATCACATATAACAGTGGGACAAGAAAGGGCAGATAAAAATAAAAAAATGCAGAGAGAGAAGGGAACGCAGGGTGACAGCTGAGGCCTGCTGGGGGGGTGGGGGCGCGTTAGGGACACGGCTTTTCCTGCCCAGGGCCATCAGGCAGGCCTCACTGACAGAAGGGGACCTGGGGAAATGCACCAAGAAAGCAGCGTGTGATCCCAGGAGCAGAAAAGGTCAGCAGGCAGTGGCCACAGTGGCCAGCCAGTGCTTGGGGGTGGGGGCATGGGACAGGGGAGGGTGGAAACTGGGTGACACAGAGAGCAGGATGCTCAGACGCCCTGCAGAGTAAATAAACTGACACCATGATGTGACGAGGCTGATTCTTTGCCTTGTAACAAGGACACCCTACCACATTTGAAAGAAGACAATATAACATGTCCTCTTGGGGCCATTTATTCAAAAAGCCTTTTCAGGAACAAGAAAATCTAAGACATGGAATTTTTTTGTTTTGTTTTTAATTTTATGTTCCTATGTATACATGTGTGTGTCTTCATTAAGAATATTTTATTTTTTTTTTTTTTTTTTTAGATTTCTTTTTCAAAGAGAGAGTGATAGAGAGAGTGAGAGAGAGAGAGAATTTTTAATATTTATTTTTTAGTTTTCAGCGGACACCACATCTTTGTTTGTATGTGGTGCTGAGGATCGAACCCGGGCCGCACGCATGCCAGGCGAGCGCGCTACCGCTTGAGCCACATCCCCAGCCCCAATTAAGAATATTTTAGAACCTAAAAGAATAAAAAACATTTATCTTTAAAATGTGTTCATCCAATCTTAAATTCTTGGGCAAAAAATTTTCAGTTACAAAAATGAATTGTCCACAGGACCCTGTTTCTGCCATCATCTACCTTCTCTCCATCCCAGCCAGACAGCCTGCTTCACGTGCCATGCAGAGTGACCCCGTATCTGGCCACCCACCAGAGGCAGCCATGATTTGCATCAGGGCCTTGGAAGCCCTGCGCAACCTGAGCTCAGGACAGATGTTGACTCCCCTCAACAAACTCTGCAAGCTGAGCCCTGAAAACGCTTGCTTTGATGGGACTCTGCAATCAGGTGAATGGCTCACCCTGCCCCCCACGGACTCCCTCCTGGGGACGGTTTGAATGCAGGACCTGTGATCACATAAAGCGGCTCTCTCGGGTCTGCAGGTCCATGTGGGTGACATCCAGAACACCCACCCGAGGCCTCCTCAGAGGCTCGGCTTCCTCACAGCCTGGTGCCTGCCTCCCAAGAACGCGGCCCCAACAGACAGCAGGGTGGGGGCTGTGGGGGTCAGGCAGCAGCCTGGCCCTGCTCCAGGAGGCACCCTGGGCAGGAAGGAGCAGAAACAGCCGCAGAGGTGTCTGCAAGCCCACTTGACCACAAACTCTCATTGCCAAGGACTGGCCAAATATGTCAACTATCAAAGTTAAATTCTTGGAGAAATAATTGATAATAATTTTTCGTATCTATTAAAATGTTACCTTCAGTGCACAAAATATGCAGGCTTCTCCCTGACAAACATGTCCGGTCAGAACCCGTAAGCTTCGTCGGAATATGTCCAACTGCCACAAGACCTAAAGAACAGAGGTGAAGGAGAAAGGAGCAGTGAGACTTTGCTCACAATGAAAAGCCTGGATATCTGGAGCGTTGCAAAAGGTTGGTAAGTAGCTTCTTTATCGCCCTACATAAACAGAGGTGCACAACCACTGAACAGCAGCAAGTATAAGACCCACTGTGCGCACACAGAAGATGGAGCAGAACACGCTCACTGACTCACGGAGAAACCAAAACAGGCAGAGAGCAGCGGAGAACTCACTAGCAGTCAAGGCCTACTGTGAACAAGCAGCGCAGGGGGCTAAGAGGAAGGCCTGGCATCGACCTGGACGAGGAGGTGGGGCCGACACCTGGAACAACTGCACTCTGGGAGGACAGACAGCAGACCCTAAGGCCAGGTGGACTGAGTGGAGGTGGCCTGCAGAGGCCAGGACAGAGGTGACAGAAGCATGGTGGGCACACGCACAGAACGCCACCTACGTTTTCGACGACTCACTAACTAAAGGAGTATTTCAGAATTTCCCTTTGAAGGTTGCCTTTTCTCTCTCCACGCTTTTCACTGGTGAACTTTAGTTGTGCATCCACTGGGATTTGTTGTTACACACTGTACCTGCACACAAAATGACAAGACCACCCGGCTAATACTCCTCCCCAGCACCTGCCCCTCACCTCCCACCTCCTCCCTTTGGTCCCTCTCCTCTGCTGCTCTCCCTCTGATTTTCATGAGCGTCTCTTTCCCCCATCTTTCTTTTCTTTTAGCTTTCACATATGAGAGAACATATACGCCCATTGGCACTTCTGAATTTAACTTATTTCACTTAAACACAATGGTCTCAAGTTCCTCCCATTTTCCTGAAAATGACATAATTTAACTCAATGGATAAATAAAACTCCGTCGTGTATTTTCACATTTTCTTTACCATTTATCCACTGATGGACACCTAGGCTGGTTCCATAGTTGGGCTACCATGAAATGTGCTGCTACACTGTGTGCAAATACTCTGTAGTATGACGACTTGAATTCTTTAGGATCAATACCGAGGAGCGGTGTAGCTGGGCCAGATGGTGGTTCCGTGACTAGTCTTTTGAGGAACCTCCACACTGCCTTTCATAGTGGTTGAAACTAATGCAATATGATTAATCCATTTATCAATCATAAAAACTTAACTATTTTGCTAAGCCCTTGGTAATGTTTAGAAACTTCCCTTCCTGTCATCTCTCATCACACTATAAAGCAAACCACACTGAACCCATTCCGCCCACAAGGAGGTTGGGATGAGGGCAGGAGCTGCCAATGCAGAGCAGCTATGGTCAGCAGCACCCCAAGGGCAGGCCTTCAGCTTCCAACTCTTGTTCACTACTACCAACTTCAAGTCAGACTTGGGCAAAATACTTCCTAAGACTCAGTTTTCTCAGTAAATTGATGACAAACACAATATCTACTCTAGGGGCTTCTGTGAAGACTGAACTGGGTCACTTGGGACTAGGCACAGTGTGGACACCATGTGCGTCAGCAGCCCTATGGACTACAGGCCGTGGCTCTGTCTAGATGTGCATCAGCAACCATGCACGCACACCACCGTACCAGCTGCTTCCCGCTTGCTCACACCTCCCCAGGGGTAAGGGAGGACAAGTATGGGCCCCCATTAAGTGTTCTGGTTTCTTTTCTTTTTTTGAATATTAAGGCCACTTCATGAGGTTAACCTGTAGAATCATCCCAAACATTCCAGCCAACCCTTTCTCCAGGCACAGGGTGGACCCGAGCAGAGGTTCCAGGTGAGTGCAAACTCAAGGGCTAAAAGGGCACAGCCAGTTAGACCGGCAGACCAACAGCGCTGGTACTTTTCCAAGTCCTCTGTCACAGGTTTTGACCAGTGGCACCAGTGCTTTTCCAAGACCTGCTTAGTACAGATTTTGACCAACAGTTCTGGCACTTATTCAACACCAGTTTAGCACAGATTTTGACCAAGAGCATCGGTACTTTTCCAAGAACTGATCAGCCACACCATGGCCCTTTCCCAGAGCTACATCAGCCTCTGCTCTAGTACACTGGATGGAAATGTGCTTGCTACCAGGTCCCCTCTCAACTTGTGGGAGTTCCTCTTTTCTTCTCTGATAAATCCTACCCTTTCACTTTTGCCTACCATGACTGTCTGTGGATTTCATTCTTTGAATCTGAGAGGCAAAAATGTGGAAATTGGCAGTGAGCTGCTGAGGTCTGCTGCAGCACTGCAGGGCAGGGCCCCCACGACGAGCTGCCAACAGGTCGCTCCACAGCAGTGGAGAGGAACCTAGCTTTGCCCCTGCAACCTCGGAGGCACCCCTGCCTTGACTGGCTGCCAGTGCTAAGGTGGGCTTTCTGGCCAGACAGAGGCAGAGGCAGACAGCTGGCTTCAGCTCACCCACCAGCTTCTCAGGCCGTGAGTCCACCCAGCTGCTGCGCCTCCTGGCAGAGGTGCACACCCCGAGGACAGGCAGCCCCCGGGTCTGCTCCAAGGCAAGTGCTGCCCATTGGACGCAGTAGGAGAATTTTAAGTGACAGAAAAAGCATTTTAATTTTTTTTAAACAAAAACTTCTCTGTACATGATTCAACATAATAATGTACAGAATGTGTGAAGCCTGTTTTGCTAATCTCTATCAAAAATAATCATTCTAAGTAGTCAATCTTTACCCTGTTTCTTTTTTAAATGATGATATTATACTATTAAAAAATCTGAAATCTAAACTAGTTGGTGGACTCCTGTTTAGCAATATGAACTTCTGTTTCTCATCACCTTCACACAGCAATGTAACACGGAGACTAAAAAATCAATGCATTTAATGTACATATTGCTCATTCCTGAAACGTCAATATACAGACACACACTTAATGAAGACACACAGACCTTTCGTCAGATTCCTCATTACAGTGACGTAAAGACTAGAACTGAGAAGTGGCGTGTGAACTTACCTTCTGACGTACCAGGACCCCCCCTCCCTTACCAGGGATTGAACCCGGGGTGCTGACCAGGGAGCACACCCTTAGTGCTTTTGCTTTCTATATTCTGAGACAGGGTCTTGCTTACCAGCTGAGGCTGCCCTTGAACTTGTGATCCTCTTGCTCAGGCTCCCAAGTCACTGGGACCACAGGCATATGCCACTGTGCCCAGCTGAAACCCATCCACTTTAATCATGTCTGCTTTTAGAATTTTCTTACAAAATGTATGCCACAAACAATTTATTCCTTAGTAGTATTTAAAGACATTTCCCAGACTGCATACTAACATGAATGCTGAATTTTAAAATGACAGAAAGTCCATCTGAAGTGCTGTTTTGTCAGCGAGGTGGCTCTGCAGCCAGGAGAAGCCTCGGGAAGCCGGGGGAGCTGGCCGGTGGCTGGGCTACAGGCAGAGCTGGTGCCAGGTCTCCAGCTGGGAAGAGCGGAAGGGACTCCAGGAGCAAGGCACAGAACTCTGTGGACCAGGGATGTGCTGCTCCCAGGGGCCCCCGAAAACTGCAAGACTCAGAGAACATCAGCTGAAGAAGAAAGGCAGTCTCTAGAGAAACTGAGCCCAGATAAGCAGGACCTGATCGTGCCAATCACCACTGGCAGGAAAGTGGCCAAACTGCTTCCAAACAGATGCAAGGTTCAAGATAGTGTGCGGAAGTGAAAACACCACGACTCAACAGGCAAAACCTGTCCCACCTGCAGTAAAAAATCACCAGACTGCCAAGGAAAGAACCAACCCAGAGGGCAGCTAGAAATATGGGTTACTGAAACTCATCCAGTATTCGCACTATTGACAGAAAAGCACAAGAAAAGAAGAGTCACACCTGATTTCATGTGCTTAACAGGCAAAAGGTGAGCCTGAACACGAACCCAGAGCCAGGAGAAGGGTGTTAGGACACTTCCAGAAGTGAGACCTGCAGCATCAAAGACAGAAATGAAATTAATGGGACTGACAGCAGATGAGACGTCAGGAAGGAAAAGATGAATGAACCCAAAAGGCAGTCACAGAAGACACGGATGAAACAGAAACACAAGGTCGGGAGAGAAGGAAACCATCAGTGGGTTGTGGGGCAACTTCAGCAACCCAAAAACGTGAGACGGGATGCCTCCAGAGAGGCCAGAACACCTGAGGAGGTAGGACCCAGCCACCTCTGTGTGACTGTGTCCTCCACAGGGGGACAGGAAACACTGAGGAGGTAGGAGAGTTCCTAAGCAGTCACCTCTGTGTGACTGGGTCCTCCACAGGGGGACAGGAAACACTGAGGAGGTAGGAGAGTTCCTAAGCAGCCACCTCCCTGTGACTGGGTCCTCCACAGGGGGACAGGAAACACTGAGGGGGTAGGAGAGTTCCTAAGCAGCCACCTCTGTGTGACTGTGTCCTCCACAGGGGGACAGGAAACACTGAGGAGACAGGAGAGTTCCTAAGCAGTCACCTCCCTGTGACTGTGTCCTCCACAGGGGGACAGGAAACACTGAGGAGGTAGGAGAGTTCCTAAGCAGCCACCTCTGTGTGACTGTGTCCTCCACAGGGGGACAGGAAACACTGAGGAGGTAGGAGAGTTCCTAATCAGTCACCTCCCTGTGACTGTGTCCTCCACAGGGGGACAGGAAACACTGAGGAGGTAGGAGAGTTCCTAAGCAGTCACCTCCCTGTGACTGTGTCCTCCACAGGGGGACAGGAAACACTGAGGAGACAGGAGAGTTCCTAAGCAGCCACCTCTGTGTGACTGTGTCCTCCACAGGGGGACAGGAAACACTGAGGAGGTAGGAGAGTTCCTAAGCAGTCACCTCTGTGTGACTGGGTCCTCCACAGGGGGACAGGAAACACTGAGGAGGTAGGAGAGTTCCTAAGCAGTCACCTCTGTGTGACTGTGTCCTCCACAGGGGGACAGGAAACACTGAGGAGACAGGAGAGTTCCTAAGCAGTCACCTCCCTGTGACTGTGTCCTCCACAGGGGGACAGGAAACACTGAGGAGACAGGAGAGTTCCTAAGCAGTCACCTCCCTGTGACTGTGTCCTCCACAGGGGGACAGGAAACACTGAGGAGGTAGGAGAGTTCCTAAGCAGTCACCTCTGTGTGACTGTGTCCTCCACAGGGGGACAGGAAACACTGAGGAGGTAGGAGAGTTCCTAAGCAGTCACCTCCCTGTGACTGTGTCCTCCACAGGGGGACAGGAAACACTGAGGAGACAGGAGAGTTCCTAAGCAGTCACCTCCCTGTGACTGTGTCCTCCACAGGGGGACAGGAAACACTGAGGAGGTAGGAGAGTTCCTAAGCAGCCACCTCTGTGTGACTGTGTCCTCCACAGGGGGACAGGAAACACTGAGGAGGCAGGAGAGTTCCTAAGCAGCCACCTCTGTGTGACTGTGTCCTCCACAGGGGGACAGGAAACACTGAGGAGGTAGGAGAGTTCCTAATCAGTCACCTCCCTGTGACTGTGTCCTCCACAGGGGGACAGGAAACACTGAGGAGGTAGGAGAGTTCCTAAGCAGTCACCTCCCTGTGACTGTGTCCTCCACAGGGGGACAGGAAACACTGAGGAGACAGGAGAGTTCCTAAGCAGCCACCTCTGTGTGACTGTGTCCTCCACAGGGGGACAGGAAACACTGAGGAGGTAGGAGAGTTCCTAAGCAGTCACCTCTGTGTGACTGTGTCCTCCACAGGGGGACAGGAAACACTGAGGAGGTAGGAGAGTTCCTAAGCAGCCACCTCTGTGTGACTGTGTCCTCCACAGGGGGACAGGAAACACTGAGGAGACAGGAGAGTTCCTAAGCAGTCACCTCCCTGTGACTGTGTCCTCCACAGGGGGACAGGAAACACTGAGGAGGTAGGAGAGTTCCTAAGCAGTCACCTCCCTGTGACTGTGTCCTCCACAGGGGGACAGGAAACACTGAGGAGACAGGAGAGTTCCTAAGCAGTCACCTCTGTGTGACTGGGTCCTCCACAGGGGGACAGGAAACACTGAGGAGACAGGAGAGTTCCTAAGCAGCCACCTCTGTGTGACTGTGTCCTCCACAGGGGGACAGGAAACACTGAGGAGACAGGAGAGTTCCTAAGCAGCCACCTCTGTGTGACTGGGTCCTCCAACTCAGAATAGGAAACCCTTGAGTTTGTCTCCTGTGCACATATCCTGAGAATCTGCTCGTGTTACCTGCCTTGTTTCCTAAACTATATAGTTTTGGAGGAACTAAGGAGAAATACAGGAACCGAGGGAGGAGCTAAGACCAAAGAGCAGGAGAAGGTCTGATGTGCAGACCCTCTCAGCAGCACACCTTCCTGAAGCGTCTGGCCCTGCGTCTCTTGATATGGGACATTTCCTCATACCCAGTTCCCTTCACCAGACATTTTCTTCTTTTCTCATAATACTTAAAGCAGAAGAAACCTCCATGCCAGGACAGAACAGTGGCTCCTTTGGGGTCTTAAAGGAAATGAGGACCAATGCTCTCTTAATTCCATTGATCTTCTGTCTCTAGGTGAGCTCTCAGGTGGAGGGCCACTGAGAAGTCAGCTGTCAGTCACATTTCTGCACACCTGACATAGTCCCTGACGTCTGTCCTCAGCTGGAAGGCCACCAAGACATGAAGTATCAGTCAGATGTCCGTGCACCTGACAATCTGTGACATCTGTCCCATGTGGAGGGCCTCGATGACACAGGTGTCTCCATGCCTGGCAGTCCCAATCTGCTTATTAAAGCAGTGCTCCTTTCAGTTCTCAGGAAGATGGAAAAGTCTGGAACTTTTCTGAATATGAACCAGGGTACACCTAGGAAAGGCCACTTATCTGAGGCAAGAAAGTAGGACAGTACAATTTGTAATTAAAAGAGCTTCTGCAAGAACTGAAGCCAAAGGATCAACCTTCAACGTCCCCAGTGCAGGGGTGCTCAAGTCAAGGCCCCAGAGCAGGCAGAACGGCCACGGCAGAGGGGGAGCGAGTGTGACCACTGAGAAAGCTCCATTACCCTCGCAGCCACACAGCTGCTGCGTTTGATCCTCTCTACTGGGGCGTCCCTGAATGTCTTCTGAAAGGCAGGGAGTGTTGGCTGATGGAAAGCGAGGTGACATTTAATGAACTGAACATTTTACATAAGAGTGCTTTATAACATCACAGTCATACCCCATCCTGGTGAAAAACCATCTCCCTTTACCATAAAAGCCCAAGTGCCCACTGTGTCCCCACTGACAGTACCACCAACCAGCCACCCGTCCCACAGCGCCTCTGCTCTCGGGGGAGACGCCTCACGGCTCACCTGGACAGCGCTGTTGAGGAAGCAGCTGTTCTGCCCAGGCTCGTTCAGCAGGCCCTTGGTGGGTGCCAGTGACAGTGTGCTGCCCGGCTGGTAGGCTCTCCCAAGGCTGCCCCCAGGCTTCCGCAGGAACTTCACCCAGGCCATGCTCAGGCCACGGTCTGCACCGACGCCAGGACCCACACACGCAGGCGAGGGCTCTGAGGGCGATGAGCGACGTCTCGAACCGTCCGCTGAAGCCCACTGCAGCCCCGCAGTGCAGCCTGAGCCCCCAAGTCCATGTCTCCCTGGTGCAGAACCTCTGAAGACCTGGATGCGCAGGAACCAGGTCAGCTGATGAAGTTCCCGGGAACAAAAGGAAAGCTGCTTGGACAAGGTGGAGACTTTTACGTCTTAGATGCTGTAGGAGCGGTGTACACAGTAAGATGAGCGTTTTTAAAAGCTGCTAAAAATAACACTAATGAACAAATTGTTTTCTTCATGCACAAATCCTCTGTCTTGACGCTTTAACAAACATATCGATGATACTAAAAGGCGCAGCATTGGCACTCGGCTCCTCCGCTATTTGTGGTCCACGTGGCTTTTTAAGGACAAAGACATCAGTCTCTCCCAGGTGATGTTGTCAAAGGTGACTCCATGTGTCTCATTAATGTGGCCTCAGAGCAAACCTACAAGAAAGAAAAGAAATGCTTGAATAAAAGCACAAGTGGCTCAAGAAGATTCCTACTTTGCCAGCTGAACATGAAAATCAAACATGGAATTAACTCATAAAAAGGATTAGAAAAACATTCTAAAACATGAAAAATATTATTGCGAGTTTTTAAAAACATTGATATGACATGAATTACTACCTGCCCCAGGCTTTCAATGTTCAACGAATAGTTTAATGAAGAAAACATTTCCCAAAAAATAGAATTAAGTGAGATCTCAGGAGGTATCCTGTCAATACTAAGCTGCTGTTTATTAAACATACATACGTACAGACAGACTCCTTATTGTCTTTTATACACAGAATCATATTTTTCAAGAAGCAAGTTTTACATAAATTGGTATGTGTAACTTGGCAGAAAATTCATTGAAAACTCTTAGTGAACTAGGATAGATTTCTACCTTATTCCTGAACGCATGCTGCTGGCTTACTGGGCTTTCAAATGCTCACCCTCTGGACCGAGTACCACAGAGCTCTGCTTCATCCCTGACAAGCCCCATTTTGGCATTCCCCACACTCTTACTGAGCTATGCATGATCAGGTCCTGGAGCTGAGGCAGAGAAGGCCCGCAGGTCTTGTCACTGCGACATGCTGTGGAGACCTGAAGATGACAGGACAATATGCTGTAGCATGTCCCCAGGGACACCGTGACAGGGTAGTGTGTACTGGGTGACATATGACAGTCATCCTAGGGGAACCACACAGGCTGCAGCATGCCCTAAGGATCACGGTGACAGGCTGCAGCGTACCCTAGGTGACACCATGAGAGGCCATAGCAAGCCCTAGGGGACTGTGACAGGCTGCAGTGTGCCCTGAGTAACACCACGACAGGATGTGATGCCTCCTGGGGACACCATGACAGGATGTAATATGTCCCAGGGGCACGGTGACAGGCATCCGAGGGGACACAGGGACAGGCTGCCACATGTCCCAGGTGGCACCATGACAGACATCCTAGGGGACACCAGGACAGGCTGTCCACGCGTCCCAGGAGGTACAGTAGGCCGTGCTGTGTGCTGGAAGGCTGTGTGAGTGCCCACAGAAGGGCCGGGTGAGGAAGGGCATGCAGTGCTGCCATGTGGCCACAGTGGTCTCCAGGAGGCCACCGAGGATGCCTTGCTGAGAAGGTCACACCTGCATGAAGATGGATGGGTGGAGAAGCTTCCAGAGAGCAAGGAACAGACGTTCAGAAACGCTGAGCTGGTGTACACATGGCACAGTGCGGGAGCGGCAAGTCCAAGGTGGCAGGAGATGTCCCCCACGAGGATGACAGGTGGCAGGGAGGAAGGGGACAAACCACAGAGTTTCAGGGCCTCGGAGAGCACTTTCTGTGGCTTTGAAATTGGTAACAGTCATCAGTTCACTTTCACAGCACATGAGGGTGACACAGAATGGCGCAGTGTCACTGATCAACACCCACGGGATGCCAAACACCCAGGAATGAAGAAGGGCATCGGAGTGGGGGAGCCGAGGTCAGGGCACGCACCCCTGCCACTGCCTGGCCCTGGGTCCAGGATCCTCACAGCGGCCCCTTCCTACCCAGAGAGCAGGGTCCAGCACAGCCCGCTGCATCAAAGGCCACATGTCACACTGCAGCTTCCACCTCTGAAGTGACCTCAAGGATCCCTGAGCCTTTGTGCAGACCAAGTTTCTAATGGCTCGGGTCTGCCTTCACGCCTTCAGCACGGCAGTCAGTTCACATTCCTGAAGAAGACTCCTTGCACGACACTCTCTGAACACACCCGTCCGGAAGTGCTGAGATATGTGGAACAGGGACTGCCCAGAGCACGCGGCTGGGTGAGGGTCATTGATGAGGCCAGAAGACTAAGGTGCATGGCTCCTGATCCTGCCCAGGACGGCAGACCAGAAGGTGCCACTGCTCCGGCCCTGCCACCCCGCCCTGAGGACACACAGAGGAACAGAACGGGACCTGGACAACCAGACGCACTTGTGGGACAGGGAGGGCACCACCGGCCAGGCCTGGGCAGAGCTTTCTGGCCACGACAGGCTCCATCCCACTCTGCGACATGACAGAAAGCCACGGCTGCCACCGCGGGGCCATCTGTCACTGCCTCAGGAAAGCACAGCCACGGCATGAGCACAGTGACTGTGAGGCCCATGTCCTCCAGCACAGAGGGCCACTGGCAGCTGGGACCTCTGCAGCTCAGCAGCGCCGCTCCAGCAGCCCTCTGCCTGGAATCGCTGGGCGGGCGCACGGACACAGAGAGTAACTGGAGCACCGCAGGAGGGGACGCAGCAACCTAGCAAACCAAGGCGTGGGCAGGCCATCACAAGCCGAGGCCCACGGTCAGGCTCAGCAGAACCTACCGGGGAAGAACACGGGGAGCATAAAGCCAAGCTCAGGCGTTTTCCTGCAAAGTCCTAAAAAAGGAAAGAGACACAGAGAAAACACCATGTTTTCAGAGCAAAGAGGTTTGGATAAAATATAAAAGTATCCGTACCCACCTAACAGGATCTCTAGAAAGGAAAGGGAAAAAAGCAAGCCGAGCAAATACTCTGCAAAGGACTAAGCGTTTCCAAGAATTCGACTGAAATGACTGGAGCGAAAAAAAAATGGAGAACAATATTCCCATGTGGGGAAGAGGCGAGCAGGGCTGGAACCGTGAGCCGCGAACAGCAGAGAAGGAATCCAAAACAAAAGTTTACAAAGACTAAGAGACGAAAGTCTCTGCACGCCTGGCTAAGGAAAAAAGAGAGAAATATACACACCAATGGATTCAATAAGACAGGTGACCACGGGCACATGAGCACAGTGACCATGAAAGAAGACCGCTCAGTCTTACAGGTGACTCTGAAAGTCTACAAGGACAGGCCGTTGCTTGTAAACATCAACTACAACGTTCATCCAAGACACGACCAGGGAGTCGGAGAGACTGGGAAGGAGACGGACCTAGCTCTCCCACTGAAAATGACATCCGGTTCCGAAGCTCAAGACCCCTCACCCAGTGCTCTGAACTGCTGGCCAATGTGGAGCTGCTGCAGACCACGGGGGAGACCAACCTTAGAGGACTCCTGAATCTTCTCAGGAAAGCCGACACAACGTAAGACCAGAAGTCACAAACCTCAGACCAAGGGACATGTGACTGCAGAGGCACAAGGCTAAAACCCCAGCGCAGTCCACCGATGTGCAAGAGTGGCACACTAGTGGGCAAATGACGACAAGCAGAGTTTATCCCAGGAATGCAAATGCGATTCCATGTTTACTCTTTGAACAAACACCGGGGAGACCGTGCACAGAAGAGTTGACGTCATTCACTGTGGAAGCAGCCCCAACATGCATCACAGGTGCGTGGATGGGCACATGTGACAGGCTGGTGTGCACACTGAGGAAGGTCACTCCCCAGTGCAGAGTGGACACCCTGTAGCCTGGACAGGCTCTGAAACCCTGTGCTAGTGTCAGGAACCAGCCACGGAAGACAGCATCCAGATCCCACCCCACAAGTGAGCACGGGCCAGCGGTCCCCCCAGCTAAACTGCATGGTACATGCCATTGTATTTCAATAACGCTATTTTTAAAAGAAAAGGCAAGGGGCTAGAGATGGGGCTCAAGCGGTAGCGTGCTCGCCTGGCATGCGTGCAGCCCGGGTTCGATCCTCAGCACCACATACAAACAAAGATGTTGTGTCCGCCGAAAACTAAAAAATAAATAAATACTAAAATTCTCTTTCTCTGTCTCTCTCTCTCTCTCTCTAAAAAAAAGGAAAAGAAAAGAAAGAAAGAAGAAGAAAAGGCAAGCCTACAACAGCAGGCCAGAGACTGCCACGGGCTGGACTGACTGACACTGGGTACTGGATTTATCCCACCCTCTGGTTTCCCTACAAGTCTAGAATTTTGGTTTTGTGCCTAGCAGAGGATGTCCAGGATTCCACCTCAGCACAGACGCTGGGCCCTGAGTCCCCTGAGTGGCCTGGCAGGTGTCTGACGTCAGTCACCATGAGGCACGGCTGAAGGGCCCGAGGGTCCCGTGTGGCTCCATTTTATACCTCACTGAAACACACCAGAGCAGAGTATGACTGCGACTGAGTCCTGAGGCCGGCCACCACCGAGCTGGGGGCACAGGTCCCTGCCCAGAGGCTGCTGGTGCGCTTGCACTGGTCCCCCTCGAACAGCAGGAACCCCAGGCGAAACTGCTGGTGGGGACAGGGAGAGGAACCTGCTTTCATGCTGATTAGTAAAATAGGTGCTTCCATGATCATAGGCTCTGGCAAGACTCAACCTGGCAACAGCAATTAAAACAAAACTCACTTCAGCCTCAATAACCCAACACTAAGAATCCCCCCAAAAATGAAAGTGCTATTTTACTGAGACTCTAGGTAGTGGGTGAATCATGAAGAACACAAAGAGGTGCCCATTAAGAGACTATGCCCACCAGGTGTCCGAGCAGGATCCTGGACCCCAGAGGCTTCACACACGTTGCCATCAGCACCTCCTGATCCTCACAGTGGTGGCCCACACACCCACCTTGTCCAGTGGTCTCCTGGTGGCCACCTCCAAAACCCTCTCTCCTGACCCCACACCATGAGCACCCCTCTCAGTCACAGCCTGACCACAGGGGACCCCTCCAGATTGATCCACGCCTACCAGTTACACTCTGTGGGAAACCTACCAGGGAATGCCAGGCCCGAGGAACACTAGGCCCCAGGGAGGGCTCTGGCCCACAGCCCCTCGGCACCCTTGCTCCTGCAGCTGGTGTATGTGGTGCTGGCCGCTGCCCTCCCTGTCTGCCAGGAAGCTGGGTGGTCACTGAGTATGTTCTGGAGAGCGGCCTCTTCTGTCTTGCTGAACCAACACCTCAAAGCTGACCTGCCACCCCTTGGGGATCTCAGAGCAGCCATCATAGGGGAAGGAAGTGGACACAGGCCTAGGAGAGTCCTGGGGTGAATACTATCACGAGCACACCTCCAGTGACAGGCACCTTGCAGGCATCTGGTCCCCCAA